GTGCAAGGCAGGATACACCCTGAATGGGACACAAGTACATCGCATGGCACACAAAGATACAAATGCAGTCACTCACACACTCACACCAACTTTCCCAGAAGCCAATCACCCATCAGTATTAACACAGTCTTAGGACTACGGCAGGAAATTGATGCACCTGGAGAAAACCCAGTGCGACTGTGGGGAAAATAGGTCGCCCCCAGGTCCAAAGTTGAAGCCAGGGCCCCAACACTGCAAGGCAGCAATGTTAACCACTGCGCCACTTCCCTGCCCCCTTAACTTACCATCTTAACAAAAAAAAACTCCTGAAAACATGTCTCAAAGCTCAATAAAAGAAAATGAGAGGTTGAAGTACACATTTTACAAAGGCTTCGGTACATCATCAATAAGTTTCAAACTGCCCGAGAACTCTGATATGTTCTGGGTGGTACAGAGAAAAATCAAGGTGGCTTGATATACAGTAATAAGAAAAACAGGCTGAGCAACAACATCACGAAGAAGACAGACGTAAGACTATGAGGAAAATATCTGTAGTGATATAGAGTGATGGTGATTTTGACTTTTGTCCCCATGGTGTGAATGAACAAGATCGACCATTTTCACGAATCTGAAAGAAAACAATGAAAATCAACCTCAATGTTAAACAATCTTGTACAGCACTTTCACATTGGCCTATTGGTTGAATTAGTAAGACAATACACACAGCTTCACAATTTTAATGTTAAGAGGTTGGTTGAGAGAGACTCTGGTCCCGGTTCAAATTGTTGTTGAAGTCAGCGTTACATAAATCAAACATCCATATACTGCAGGAACAAACTGACCTGTAAACTAACTTTTGAAAACTACTCTTCAACAGCACCCCAAAAGATCATGTCAAATTCCTTCCTTGTAATAATTACTTAAGGTTACCCCCCCCATCAGACTCTTCGCATCTGCGTGATCGCCTTTTCATTTCCCTGAAATCTGAAATCCCCTTCTTGCTTCACTCGGGCAATTACAACCTCCCTATGAATTACACCTCGTTCGGCGTGCGGAAACTGCTCATTATGATGCCGTGACTCACAGCTACCTGTCACCCGGCAGTGAAATATAGGAATGGATATGTGCTGCTTGCCCTGGGAGGCAGAGTAATGTGGAGAGAGAATGAGTGGGAGGCACGAGGCACACAACCCCCACAGTGCTCTTATTTATCCACGGCCTCTCGGTACACAGTGAGGCCACGCACAGCAGCCCCAAGAGTGGGCACGACATAAATTAAATAACAGAAGTGCGTGACATGCAATCGAGATTGACGGTGGGGGGGAGATGTCACTCTGACCTTGAACAGGTCAGGAACGAGCGAAGTGAACTTACTTATTTCATCTAAAGCTCAAAGAAGACTCCGGAGAGACAGCAGCCAGGAAGGTGAGAGTGACAAAGGGCTCCAGCTGTGATGAGGACAGGATAAGATCTAACGGAGGCAGGACTAAAAGGAAGCATGTTTAAGCTAATGGTCTGCCAACGAGCATCATACACCCCACCCCAACCCCCCCCAAAAAATGATTGTGGACTTAAATCTTAAAATAAAACCACAACGACTGCGGACACAATCTGGAAACCCGGAAACCTGAAAAAACTAGGGTCACCGTGGCCAAAAATGTGATACTGGGCGTCCTTTCATTTAAAGGATGTTGGACCACTAGATCTCATGTGTCAATGCTTAACATGGGAATAAGCCGCTGATCTGGTGGCATCTTTGATCATGGACAGGAGTATGGATTTGCCACTGAAAAACATCCATCGGGATCATGGCTCATATGGGTACCCTAGAGAGCTTTTACAGACTTTTGCTTGAGGGGGGGAAAGAGGAGAGGCTTTAGACTCAGCACTCTACAGTATATACTGTATCAGCAGAGGAATAAGAGAATGACGTCTGTCAGCTCACATCACACTAGTTGGTGCTAAACTGTAACTGTAACAAACTAAACATGCAACCAGGAGGCAAGGGGGCATGAGATCAGTGCAACAGGATAACAGGTTAAATCTTCATTAGTTAAACACTAAGCCACATCATAAGCTTTTCTCCCCTAATTGACTGTTACCTGTCAACTACTCTAACAGCTGTTGCAGTCCTAATATGTTTTGGCTGCACTTCAACTAACATAGACATTGCAGTGTCTACGTTGTACCTAGGAAACATTTACCATTAGTGTTTTCTAATGAAATAATGATGGCTGGGGCGGAGAGGATCACTTAGGTGTAATCAAATTTAAAGCAATCGACATCTGCCTTCTGTTATGCGGAGAAATCAAACGGAGATTGAATCGCAGGTAGATACAGTAGAGATAAAACTAATTAAAATGCTGGCAAATTGAATGAAGTGTGAGTGGGTTTCTTGCAAACCGTCAGCTATAGGGATCTGTAGGCAGACGATTTCAAGATCATCACTAGATGTTTCCAGGTGTACCTCAGAGATTTTAATCCCAATCTAAAACGTAATCACTGAAAGAGTCGTTTGATATTTTAAACAGTTGCAGCCGCACAGCATTAAGAAAACATGGAAGACATGCTGCTTTTTAGTAGAATGGTTTTTATTGAGTATAACAGCTCTTGGGGATTTGAAAATGGATTTAAACTAGACTGCTATCTGGTGAAGACATTTTCTTTCTCTCAAAGTCTATAGGTTCCCGAAGCAATTGCATAAGGAAATAATTTCAGGAAAAACAGAACAAAAAAAAATCAGGGATGGAAACGCATCATGAAAATGTAACACACGGAACAAATTATACCATAACAGCCATGACATGAAACCCAGAGCTAGACAAGGAGGAACATTTGAAATAATAGGTTTTTCATTCTCCTGTGAAATTATATTCTCGCATGATCAGAGACTCTGAGGGGCTTTTTAATTATTCTAAAAATAACCCACATGAACTTTTATATGTGGAAACAAACTATGTTCTTCAAATATTCTGAAACCCCATACATATTACTGGAATAAAAAATATTCTAAATTACTCAAGGAAGAACTATTCAACATGCCCTTTTCAGGCCAAAGGTTTTTCTCTTTCACGCTGCCTTTTCAGAGTCAGCTGCCTTGCTAACATTTGTTTTACATTTTTTGACCAACATTGACACGTTATCATCGGCGAATCGGAAAAGTCGGAAATCTGGAAATTAAAAAAGCAGGAAGTCTGTGCAAAGCAGAGAATGAGAGGTACATAAACACCAAAGCACTGCACTCCCACAGCAGCAGGCAAATACCTCACCTACCAGGAGGAATGACCTCAGCGCAGACTCTGCAGTGCTGCCGATCTGTCCTCATACGGTTGACAAGTCAGACTTACTATTATGAGCCAATGCTTTAAGCAGGCAGTCCAGGCATCCCTCCAAACTGTCCACTGTGCTGTCAGCTTCTGTTAGCTTCAGCTTCCTCAGGGCTTCACAGAAGTTATCTGCTTGGATGACATAAAACAGAGAGATGTCAGAGCCGCCGTTGAGTCTGCAGCAACTTCAAAGCCCTGATGCTAAAAAGGTAAAGAAGCAGCGACTACAGCGCGCGTGGCAAGTGCTTAAAGGTTGACAAATCTGTCAGTCACAAAAGCCAAACGGCTAGTTAACCTTCAGTGAGGCAGCTCCTCAGTGCGCTTTTCTTCAGCAACTACAAACAAACAGGCAGTACCATGGTAACACACGTGTATTGCCAAGTTGAGAAATGTAAGGAAGACTCAGAAAGTTATCCCTTTTGTAGTGCAAGATTTTTCACTCTGTGAATCGAATCGACACACTTGGAATCGGTGTCAAGAGTTTCACGAGGGAGGAAACCATTTTGACATTAACTCAGGACTATAGGAAGGCAGCTCCAACCCCAAAGCCAGCGAAGTAACAAGAAGGTCAATAAATAAGGAAGCTTAGCACGCCTTGGAGCATGACCACTGCAGTTTCAGACACAGGTCGTGCAGCTGCTCGCAAGTGGTCAGTTATCACCATGGATACCAGGGTTCGGGATGGATGGGTAGGAATCCACAGAGGTCCTCACTGTGGTACATACTGTATGGCCTCCCTGTTTGACCAATAACCTGCAGAACCCTGTAATGAATGCTGAAGCACTGACAAACATGCCTGGCTTGTTCACTGGAGCCTTTAGCAACTGCGTCAAGGAACCGATAACAAAAAAAGACAGCATCGAACAGTATAACAAAATCCACAGTATGGTACTAATTTCATATGGTTTTTCTTACAAGGCAATGCAGGTTACTCAGGGGATTGAACTACTATAGCTATATTCCTGATCTTGCAACCTACAAAATAATCACATGACACCACAAACAGCAGGCTGGAAGTTCTTCCTGAAATGAGCCACAAAACACATTTAATAAGCAACAAATGTTCAAAATACTTTGTGTGGTGAATGCCATGACTCACATGCATTAAAACTAATGTCAACTGACCACCGATTTCTGAAATTTGAAAGAAAGCTTAAAACCCTTTTCTTAAATGTATAACTTACAGTATTAATTATTTGGGAATCTCATTTCTCAGAAATCCTCCAGAAAGTATTGTGTTCAGAAGCAAATGTTACAGGGCAGCACTACCTGGAAAACGTGAGCTCAATAATTGTGCTCCTGAATCAAGGCCACAGACTGACTTTCAGTGAGCGAATGGCAGTGTGTCTGTGGGAAGTCAGCGATCCTGACATGGACTGGCTTGCCTTGTCTCTGAAATTGAACCTGACTTAGCACCAGGAATCAGCTGGCTGAACACCAGACTGACCACACCTTGCTGTATTTGCAGAAGAGCTGAATGCTTCGCCTCAGTTTAGAAGCTGTAGGCCATCGAACAGCAGGTGATGTCGATGTCCAGGCAGTAACAATGATCAGACTGTTACTGATGCTCGTAAGGGTGTTACCCGATACTGCAATGCAATATTTTTTACTGGGGTCTGCGTTTGTTGAGAGTTTCATGGATGATAAACAAAACTAAGACGTGCCACTGCAGTGTTTTCTTGGTAGAAACAAGCAAATTCACATTTTATATTAGTGTGACTGGCAATAAATAGACATTTATGGAAATACAGTGTGAAATTGTTCAGTATCCTTAATATGTTGCAAGCAATGGATTTTTAAGACTTCAAATCAAAGGAACCAATGCTAAATTAAAACAATGGATTAGTTACACTCACTTTGACTACTGCATTCAGTTTTAGTCACCATGTTACAAGAGACAAATTTCTGTTAGAGGCCATATGAAAGAGAAGTGCCACATTACTTGAACAGAGGAAAGAATTTGCTGTTTTTTGCTTGGAATACAGATGACTATGTGGGGACTTGATTCAGGTATGCAAAACTCTGAGAAGCAGCAACCAAATCAATTCAGTATCAGAACCAGTATCAGGTACAGCCAGGGCTCCTTGGACATTAATGGCAATTGAGCTCAGTGCTGACTCTGTGGGTTCTTTGAAAAAAAGACTGGCAGAATTTGTGGAGCTTTATTAGCAACCAAAAACAAACTTGCGTAAACCTCTGAAGAAATTTAAAACCTATGGTAAAAAATATTCTATTTCAAGAACTAGCACTTAACGCACTAGAAACTAACTGCACTCTCAATATAAAGTGTGTGTTATAAATATTGGTCTAAAACTATTATTTCTGTCTTCTAACAATTATGCACATTAAAAGCCGTTTAATTATGTGCTGAAAGCTCATGGTGTATATGGAAAACAAATTAGTGTCATGGAAAACATACAGCAACAACCATTTAATTTTGGTTGACCACAAACTAAGGATAAGCACAGGCTTTAAGTTAGGTAACACTACTGTAAGCAATCTTTTCGTAGCAGGTGAAATGATATTCCATTAAACAGATATGAAATAGGTAAATTCATTATGCTAATTATCGTTTGTCGGCAACATGGTATCTACTGAAAAAAGTTATGAATAGGAGAGCATGTTGTCACATCTGGAAGTCATGTAAGCTGTACATCTAAAATTGATTTTTGCCCTACGTTCCAAATGTTCTCTTGAGGGGATCTGTACTATTCCTCGCGTAGAGGCTCGACAAACATGAGCCAATTCACAGAGTCTCTGAGCTCTAGATACCACATGTCAACCTAGCTTATTCCAGAAATATTCAAAAGGACTCAGGTCTGGAGAGTAGGCCTTCCACAGCATACCTGCCACGCTCTTATCTCACGAGAAAGCCGGCGTTATATGGAATCTGCATGAGATCACGTGTTGGCCATGCTGAAATGAAGGAAGGAAGCACAACACGTCTCCCAGGACTGGTGCAGTGAATTTCCAGACCACGACTGGTCTGCTGGGTGCCACAATTATTTCTCCTGTACGTCCGCACCTGTCTTGCTGATTTACCCAAAACCTTGATTCAAAAAGAGGACTTTGCTCAGCCCAGCAAAGCCACCCAAGGTGTTGCTCCAACACAGCAAACGCACAAAGGTGGTCTTTTTGATATGCAGAGTGTGTTGACTCCTTACCAACCCAACTGCATGGAACTGCACTGATCAATTCCTGGGACCTCACTAAATACCCTTGCTGTAGCGGGTTTGGAGTCTGGGGGATTTCACTAGGATTCCCCAAGCGGTGGACACTCCTTTTGATATGGATGGATGGATGTTTGCCCGTTATGCCTCCCAGCGTCCTGTTGCTGTTAACGTAACGTTAGTTTTTTTACAGTTCTTGAATTCAGGAATACTGTGCTGGCCTGCACTGATAATGCAAAATCAAAATCTGTCAGGCAAATCTGAGCACCTTAATTACAGGCGAGCAGCATTAAGCTAATACCGTTGCCTTTGATGTACCTGAGGTATGATGCTTTTGTTCCAGTTCAGAAACATGCCTCGTTCACCGATAAGGGGAACAGAGACTGGAACAATTGTTAATAGCAGGCAGGTTTTCTTGATAGAAAATATCCATTGCGTAAAAAAAACGGCTTACTTAGCTTCATCTCCACTTTATAACGTGTTGTATCTTACAATACACCTCACTTGGAAGAGCTGGTTGTAAAACGTAACGGGTCTTCCGTCCTCACTAATTTCAGCTGAAACTAAATGGTAGGCTTAATGGCTTTTCTCCTCATGAAGAGTGCTCTTGAAAAGGTCTGCTCATAAACAACCTGCCACATATTATTTACAGCAGCCAACAGATTCTATATCAAGGCTCTGTACTTTCCCCACATAAGCCGAGTTTTTTTTAACCCCAACACACATACTGTGGGTTTAAACCGAAATGATAAGAAAAGCCCTCTCCAGCAGTGAGATGCAGTGAGCACAGGGAATAATGACACAGTGTGGTGTTAAAATACAGTATAGCAAGAAAAACTACCAGCAGCGTATGTGGCTCGATAGCTTTTTGGAAGTGAATCTTAACACATAACATTCCAATATGTGCAAAATACAGAAAGTGAAATGCTGCAATTCCCTTTAAATGACAATGCAAAGAGGCCAAAGCCTTCTTTTTATAGAAATGAGGTGGTGGGGACAGAAAAAAACAATGCTGATAATGCACATAATGGAAGTGAAGAAGTGGGCTGTTAATAAGACAACTTGGAATGAATCCTTCCTCAGCCCATTTCAAATACACCACTCCTTTTTCCTCCCCTCAAGATCAGCCCTTAAACAGCAGAGCAGCTGTGCCAGAATGTAGTACACTACGTAGTACAGAACCTAGTAGTACACTACTCACTCTTTGCTTATATTCACCATGACAGGCCTTGCAAAACTTTGTTTGGAACCTAAAACGATGACCCTCTGTCTATCACAATGTGACGCCAACAGTGATACCAAGAGGGCTAGTTTTCCTAGACCATGTAAGAAATGCTGTATTGGTTGCTCCCAGAAAAGCTTCAGCCTGCAGACTGCACTAATCCCTATGACTAATGCAGATATGAATTTTAGAAGACTCCGGCAGTCTAGTAAAACAACCCCTGCAGTTACAAAAACAGTGCTCTCATCCTCAGAGACTTCAAGTGTAGTACTTGTATGTCTCAAATGCCAATGAATCACCCCTGTCAGGGCATTAAGTGAGATGCACAAACATGGAACAACAAAAGACAAGAGCTTCTACTACATCTTCCGACCTTGAGCACACAATCCAGTAATCATTTTCTGTTGCTATGATATTGTGATTCCTCAGGAATAAAGGTTTATATCCCTGAAAACCTGAAACTCTGACAATACAGGCCCAAGTAATTAATTTTTCAGGCCTTGTCCACGGTTGTAAGTTACTGCGGCAGTTATAATTATCTGTCACACTAACTGCTCCATCAAAATATCATCCCCGAAGTCTTTTTTTTTTTTAATGTAGGCTGAGAAAACTAAATACTTTGTGAGCATCAGAGAAACTTTTAAGAAAAATGAACAGTGTAAATTTTAGATACTGAATAAATAATTTAGGATCATTATGGCTCATTGATATTTCATGACAGACCATGATACATGGCTTCT